TATCATGTTGCTGCTGATCTGTTTCATGTTGCTGCTGATCTGTTTCAGTGTTGATGTGTTCATGCGTGCACATCTGCTCACAGACTCATGTTCATGTTTGTGCTGATGTTCAATGTTTTATGTTATGAGTGCTTAGTGTATATTTAGTTGATGTTTTTCTTAGTTCATATCTTAGATGTTATTACTGTTTTTCTTATACATTTTATTGTTGGATGTAACTGGGACCTTGTGTACATAATTTCGCTCCACCACATGTACCACATGAGGTGCGAATGACAATAAAGAAACTCTGACTCTGACTCTGATAAAACACATTCACTATAATAAGAGGATCTGCATGCAAAGAAAGAGTTAAATAATAATGATGATGATAATGATACATATTTTACATATGTACACGAGTCCTTACATAAATAAATTCTGAACATCAAATGAAGATTTATACATAAAATGGTAGTCAATTAAAAAACTTCATGGCAAACATAGCCAGTAATATATGGTTCTTGTTTTCTATTTCAGATGATAAACCTCCTTGTAAAAAGAAGAACATGTCAGCCTGGACCAGCTGTTGGGAGAAGACTTTCAAGTAAGGACGGCATCTAGATCTGTGAGGGACCAGGCCAATGAAGAAGTCAAGAGGTACAGAGAGCGTGATCCTTTGCCCCTGAACAAAAACCCACTACAGTGGTGGAAAGAGCAACAGGACTTGCCACTGCTGTCATCTGTGGCTAAAATGTATCTGTGCATACCGGCCACCAGTGTGGCATCTGAGAGAGTTTTCAGCACTGCAGGAGATATTGTTTCCACAAAACGCAGTCTACTCAAACATGAGCATGTGGATCAGCTGATTTTCCTTAAGAAAAATCTGCCGAAAAAAAAGATGAGGACAGTGATTATGATGAATAAAAATATACTGTAGGTAAACATACAAACATAAGGAAGTGAACTACTTCACTGTGTTTGAGTTCAGATTGAACCTGACGTGAATGTAGAAATGTAGGACATTACTTTTGTTCAGACTACCTCACCAGGTCAAAAAGCTGCACTTTGATTTCTTTTATACATGTAATCGGCACTTTGACTGTTGATATGTGCTGCTGATTATCCATGCTGCTGATCTGATCTCATGCTGCTGTTTAAATGACATGATGTTATATTAATCTGTGCCCACCTGCTCACACAAACTCATGTTCGTGCTGCTGTTGTTAGGCGTACTGTTCTTGCATTATGTTTTTGTATTATTAAGTTCAAGTTCAAATTGTGTTTATTTGTCATATGCAAGGTTAACACGATGAAATGTTCAGGATGAGAAGAACCAATTTGACTTGATAAAAAACAAAAAACAAGCAAACAAGAAATACTAAAGCATGCAATAAGGGTACAAAATAAACTACCAACAAGTGAAAAAGTAATTATAATATTTACAAAGTTTCTGAAGAGAAAAATGGTAAACAACAACATTGTAGAATTTTTACAGTGAAGCAGAATGAATTTGTGTGAATAAGTATTTCAAGGTAGTAATGTAATATAAGCTAAAATGCACATGATATATATTGCACATAACTACCAAACTACACAGGGTGTGTGACAGGTTATTGCACAGGTGCTTTGTGCTTACTGTAGCTTATTACTATTTTTTTTTTATTATATGCTGCTGTAATCATTTGTGCATTTTATAATTTTTCTTTATTTTCTCATTTTATACTGATCCCATCAAACAAAGAAATATTCTTTTAGCTGGTCTTTTTAGGTCCATGTCTAAAAATAAACACATTTGACATGTGATTCTGTTGTTTGGCTTTTTACTTTATTTTTGCCAGTGCCTTACTGCACGCTTTTAGATATGATATATGTAGACTTTTACAAATTTAAAAATAATGTAAGAATGTCACATTTATAGAAATGGCCCTTTTTGTTCATAATTAATATTTGTCTACATTCAAAAAATGTTAAACTGTAGAATTAAATAAAGTTGAATCGAATCGAACCGAATCGCTCTTCCACTGTATTGAATCGAATCAAATCGTTGTTTTTAAAATAAATCGTTTTTGAATCGAATCGTAACCTTTGTATCTAGATGCGAATCGAATTGTCTATCACACAGAGATGTACAACCCTATCAATTACCTTTCTTTTTTTTTTTTTTCATTGACCCTTTATTTCTACAGGTAGTCTCATTGAGCCACGAGAACTCATTTTCAAGAGAGACCTGTTTAGGGAGCAGATGGTGGTTAAGGGCCTTGCTCATGGGCCCAGAGTGGGACGAATGAGGGTGGTGGCAGGTGTGGGTGCTTCACCTAGCCCACCCACATTTTTGATTTTGTTGGTACTGGGGCTTGAACCGGCGATCTTCCGATCACAGACCCACCTTCTCTAACCTCTGCGCCACCACTCTCCCAATTTCAATTTTGAGTTGCCAATTGGTCCACAACAGTTGCAGCCCTGTGAAATCCTATATGTATGGATAGTGTGCTAGTGTACAGCACTTTGGCTATTGGTGTTGCTTTTAAACTGCTTTATAAGAGTTGAATTTATCCAGAAGAACTGAGGGAACTCACCATAGGAGCTGCCAGCAGTAACATGACGGCACAGGTAGTGGCTCTCTTTCCCAGTTTATCAGAGATCACTCCAGCCAAGATCCCCCCTATTTCAACATGTAACACACACACACACACACACACACACACACACACACACACACACACACACACACATACACACATGTATTTAGGTGACATTAATAAACACAAGTGCTATGTGTTGTCATCATTGTATGCTCCCATACAATGGTGAAATTAGTTCTCTGCATTTAACCCACTGCACCTGGGATACACCCAGGTGGAGCAGTGGGCAGCTATGTAAACACCCAGGGAGCAGTTGGGGATTAGTGTGTTGCTCAGGAACACCACAACATGTTGGAAAGGTTGGGGATCAAACTTGGGACTTTCGGGTCTCAAGTCGGCTGCCCTACTACCACATCTCAGCCCCTCAAATTATAAAGCACTCAAATGATTGTGAGTCAAGTCAAATGTTAAACATGGACATGCTTCAGTTCAATAAAAGTGAGACAATAAAGCCAGTAGACTATCTTGCAGTCCATCTGTAATCTTAATACATAAAATGTACTGAAAGAAGGAACATGTAACACAAAGTGTACAACATGCCTCAATATGACAAGTAAAAAAAGAAAGCTCCTACCAACAATTCCTCCAACATCAAACAGTGTGGAGAGATCTCCAGCTTTCTTTGCATCCAGATGAGCTGAAAAACACAAACGGAAATATATATATATATATATATATATATATATATATATATATATATATATATGTGTGTGGCAATCATCCAGTTATTTGTAACTGTTGAATGAAGCCAATCTCTTCATGAGCATGAAGCCTTAAGCAGGAAGTCTGAATCAGTGTTGAAATAACTCAAACTCACCCATACATACACTTTGAGCATCTTCAGTACAGATAAAACATCCTCTCTGAACTTTATTTCTAACCTCTCACTTGACACTACTTTGTTCACGCTACTGATAGATATTAGAGGTAAGCAGGTGTTTTCAGTGAGTTCCCCCACCTGCTTTGGTGATGTAAAGAGGCAGCCAGAATAGGAAAGTATAACTGACCAGCTTGGCAAACAGCAGACAGAGAGAGAACTCAATGACTCCCTGCAAGCAAAGAATCATTTTGTTAGCAAAATTACACAAAGATTCTGGATTATTGAGCATGCATCAGGATACACAAAGACAGTTCAATAATAATAAAGTTTTGACACAAACGTGTTCTAACAATCTGGTCTGAATTAAAGACCTGGCAGACTTTGAATGAATGATTGCTAGAATACACCAAGATCATTTTATGTCAAGTGGTTCTGGTTAAACCTTGTAAATGACATCATGCATGAACTCGCACAACACCGTGCGTTCTCACCAGATGTCGTAGAGTATGTGTGCAGAGTGATTACCACACCAAACTTTAGCTCAATATTTGTAAGATTGTGTTTCCTAAGGTCAATGAGCTGTGGTGGCCATCTTGAGTTCAGATAAGCTCAGAAGTTTGTGAGATTTAGTTGGACATCCAACCATTACATTAGTGATTTTAATGAAACTCTCAAAGTGGTTCATGTGATATTTTACAAGCACACACAGAGATAAATCAATTTTTTTTAGCACTAGTAAAAGCAAACTGTGGTTTTAAATGTCTGCTAGATGAAGAACTGACAGGGATTCGTAGAGCTCCCATGAAGCTGATGGCAGATGGTTCTGACTCGCTCTTCACCACCACAACGGGCTGAACAGGAACACACACCGAGTCCCGAGGCAACAGCAGCTCCATGTCAGAACTCTGAACCAGGAGGAAAAAGAAAAACAGGTAAAAACAGACCAACGTTGTTGTCTAATAAACTAAAAAAAAGACAATAAAAAACAAGTGACTGTGTTTTAAACCCTGAACAAATATATATATATATATATATATATATTTTTTTTTTTTTTCATTTAGCCTTTATTTATACAGGTAGTCTCATTGAGCCACGAGAACTCATTTTCAAGAGAGACCTGTTTTATGGAGCAGATGGTGGGGGTTAAGGGCCTTGCTCATGGGCCCAGGGTGGGGCGAATGAGGGTGGGGGCAAGTGTGAGTGTTTCACCTACCCCACCCACAATTTTTTTGATGTTGTCGGGGCCGGGGCGTGAACCGGCGATCTTCGGATCACAGGCCCACCTCTAACCTCTGCGCCACCACTCCCCCATAATGATTTAGATGACCGTGATCGGTCCATTCAGCTCAGGTTCGAACAATTTGTGTTAAGCATCAGTGAAAATACAAAGTTGGCCAATTTATTTTTAATAGATTTAATATGATATCCTGTTTACCTGCCTTAGGAAATAGAAATTAATAAGTGACTAAATGCACAATGGAGCACAGTGTTGTCTTGTAAGAACAGTGTGATATGTTTACCTAAACTGGATATATACTCTTAGAATTACAAAAATAATAATCTGCTCCTTCTGACACGAGACAAAAATCATCTCGTTCTCCAATGCCCCTTTTGCACTGCCCCTAATAAGCTCCAATTCTGGGTAGACCGCCACAGAAAGAACCCTTTTGCACCAGTACATTAGTATTTTTAGCTGATTCAGGACTTCTTTTCGTCCCTGCTTCTCTGGTGGGACCGAGCGAGCTCAGCTGAGCTGAGTCAGACCGAAACGTGAATGCAGGACTCTGATTGGTCAGGGGGAGGAGTCACTGGATCTCAAACTTTTCACTGAGCCACCATTTGCAATTTCTCTGGATGCAGAGCAGCAGCTGGATCTATTTTTAAGATTTTAAAAACAATAATGACAACGTCGTGTTCAATTCTGAAGTCCAGGCATTTTTTGTGTTTGGTGACCGACTATAAAATTTGAGCGAGCGGTGTCACCGCGGAGGATCATACGAGCTGTCGAGCCGTTGCAGCCCGCGAGGCCGAACCCCGAGCCCCGGCCTCGCCTGCTCACAAAGGCCGGATTCGAGCCCTGGCAGGCGGGAGGACCGGGAGGGACGGAGGGTGAAAAAGTTTTTTTTTTTTTTTTTTTTTAATTCATTTACCTGGAGCTTCCTGCCTGTACCTCCTGCCTGTAGCTGAACTCATCATTGTTTGTGATTGCCATTATTAACAGCAGTTTGGCTACAGGTGTGGTCCCCGATGTTTTAAAACATGCAGTGGTAACTCCATTAATTAAAAAACCCAGACTTGAACCTGCAGCTTGTTCAAACTGCAGGCCAATCTCAAAACTTCCATTTCTTTCTAAAATCTTGGAGAAAATAGTTTTTAGTCAACTAACCAAGTTTTTGAATGTAAATGGAATTTTTGAGATTTTTCAATCAGGATTTAAACAACTGCACAGCACCGAGACAGCTTTAGTAAGGGTCTGTAATGACATTCTGCTAGCGAATGACTGGTCAGTCTGTGATCCTGGTACTCCTCGACCTTACCGCTGCATTTGACACTGTTGATCACAGCATCCTTATGTCACGGCTAGAACACTGGGTTGGGATTACAGGGGTGGCGCTAGAATGGTTCCGTTCGTATCTGGGTGACAGGAGTTTCTGTGTTAACTTTGACAATCCTTTTTCTGCTTCTGTCCTCTTTCCTGTGGGGTCCCACAAGGCTCCATTCTTGGACCCATTCTGTTCTCATTGTATCTGCTCCCCTTGGGGCCTATCCTGAGGAAACGGTATTTCATTTCATTGTTATGCCGATGATTCTCAAATTTATCTGCTCTTAAAACCCAACAGTTCCTGTTCCATCCACCCTTTGTTAAAATGTCTTGATGACAGCAAGACTTGGATGGCTGCAAACTTCTTGAGTTTTAATGATCAGAAGACTGAGGTCATTGTGTTTAACCCAAGCTCTACCACTGTCACTGATCCTGTAAACCTGCACTCCCTTCAGCCACAGCTAAAGCAGTCGGTTACCAAGCTCGGGGTAGTGTTAGACTCGGACTTTAAGTTTAATAAACAGATAAACTCTGTTCTACAAAAAAGCTTTTTTCAGCTAAGGCAAATAGCAAAGCTTAAGTCCGTTCTGTCCAGATCCGACCTTGAAAAACTAGTCCATGCATTTATTACAACCCGGCTGGACTACTGTAACTCACTTTATGTTGGGGTTAGTCAGGCTTCACTTTCACGTCTCCAGCTCGTACAAAATGCTGCAGCTCGGCTACTAACAGGAACTCGGAGGTTTGAGCAAATTACTCCGGTTCTGTCCTCTCTTCACTGACTTCCTGTGCGTGTCAGAATCAATTTTAAAATTCTCCTGCTGACATTCAAGTGCATTAACGACCTCACACCATCATACCTCTCCGACCTCCTTCATCCTTATACTCCTTCTCGGGCCTTGAGATCATCAGATCAGCTGCTTTTGGCCGTACCAAAAACCAGCTGAAGCTCAGAGGAGATCGAGCATTTTCAGTCGTGGGCGCTAAACTTTGGAACAATCTGCCCATCAACATTCGACAGGCCACCTCAGTCTCTGCTTTTAAATCTCTCCTAAAAACACATCTGTACTCAATGACATTTAACACAGGGTGATTGGATTTAGATTTAGTTTTTCATTGATGCCGATTCTGTTTATGCTTTTGTTATTATTCCTATTTAACACAAGGTCATCAGATCTGATTTAATATTTCATTGTTTCTGACTGAGTTTATGCTTTTTGTTATTTCCTTGACTTTTGACACAACATGATCTGATTTAGTATTTCATTGTTTCTAATTATGTTTTCGGTTTTATATTTTTATTCCATGTGCTGTAAATATATCTTGCTACTTTTTATTTGATGTTGTGATATATTTTTAAGCACTTTGTTAACAGTTTTTGTTTTAAATGTGCTCTATAAATAAATCTGACTTGACTTGACTATTGTTTCACCGTCCACAGCTGGCACCTCAACAACATTATCTGAACGGTTCTCGTCTGCGGGGTTCACGGTGGTGGAGGTTTCCCTCGCAGCAAAGGGCATCTCCGCCACCCTGCCCGGACAGGACACACCTCCCCCCTGTTCGGTACCGGCAGGTTGTTTAACCGCATCGGACGGGGTTGGCCCGGTTCTGTTGGGGCACATTTTTCTGATGAGTCTCTCCTGGCTGCATCCAAAACACTTCATGTTGGAAGAGGTGGTGTATAAAACGTAGAAGAAGAAGACGACAAACTGAAATAGTAAAAATGAATATAAAGTGCATCTGCAAAGTATTAACAGTGATTCACTTTTTCCACATTTTGTTCTTTTATAGCCTTATTCCAAATTGTATGGCGATTTTTACAAATTTATTAGAAACTGAAAAGTAAGAAATCACATTTGCGCAAGTACTTTTGCCATGAAGCTCAAATTGAGATCAGATGCATACCGCTTCCACTGATCATCCTTTAGATGTTTCAACAACTTAAATGAAGTCTCATGCCCATAGAGTGCACTAATTGCAATTTTATGGCCGATCTCCGATCACTGATTTCTAAAAAGTCTGACCTGCCGATACAGATTTTGTTTTATAAGCGACACAGTCAGGCATTATAAGGTCACAATGCACCTTCAATTTTCCAGTATTATTTTATTGAAAAACAGACCCTTGAACAATACCCTAGAAACAATACCAACTTGTTTCAACTGGCCATGAGGTAGAGGTCTGAAATATAAATGAAGTTCAGACAATTGTTGTTAAAAAATAAAAAAATAAAAAAATAAAAAAATCGGTAAAATCGGTTTCTCATTCATCGGCCGATTTACCAAAATGAGGGAAATAGGGGCCCACCCCTAGTAATAATATGTTTCTTCAACAGTCTGCATCTTCTCTTTGCTCTTGTTTCTGTATTATTTTCATAGACATAACCGTTTTCATGTCAGGGTTAGGAAATAGAAAATTAAATGAAAGGAAGCAGTATTAGACATTCATTCACACACAGTGAGACAAACAAACCTGCTTTGTGCTGTCCTTGTACTGCAGATAAACCTCTGAGTGTCCATTTGCTCCATTCCATCTCTTAAATGAAACCTGATAAAACAGATTGTTAAAAATTACACACAACAACTTGTGGAAACAAATTTTATAATCAAATAATTCAACTCACACTCTTGGATGGAGAAAGATTCTGAGCATACACACTTTTCAGGTCATTTGGATCTGGAGGGAGAAACACAACATATGAAACGTGTCTATTTTGAGCTGTCTAATGCTGGACAAAGCATCAACCAAGAAACCAACAGCCTGCATAAATGACTGAACAAAACACGAAAAACAGAAAGTAAAGGAAAAATACATTCAAAAGAAGGATGAGCTTACGTTCAATGAGGAAGAGGTAGCAGATCACACCCATAGCTGCAATGATAAGGCCTGGAACAATGAAGGAAAGGCCCCAGTTGGAAGAGACCCAGTAGCCAGCTATCAGAGAGCCCAAGATGTTTCCTACTGAGGTGTGGGAGTTCCACAGGCCCATGATGAGTCCACGTCTGACAGGTTCACCAGGTGGCAGCAACACAACAAAACATTTATTAACAACTGGAATCATCCCTCATCCAGCCCAAGTTCTTCTGACTTTGTATGTCAGCTTTGATCAAACTTTTGATAAAAAGTCGACTGCAGTTTAGAATTGTTCCTCCTTACCTTCCCTTTCCAAACCAATTCCCTATGCAAGTCACCACACTGGGCCAGCCAGTGGTTTGGACCAAGCCGTTGGCCACCTACAACATCATAAAGAAAGATTTTACTGCCCATTCTTTAAACTCATATTTACTCTGCCTCCAATGGAAACTTGGACATTCATATACAGCATAACAACTGGATTGAGAAGGTGTCGTCTAACTCAGATAAGAGACTCAACTCAAGACATGAAATATGTCACTACTACTGAAAAGTGAAAGATGGCACCATTCAATCTGACCCAAAATTAATGAACGCTTCCTTTTCATCTTTTTCTCAGGAATTATACAAGTCAGAAAGCAATCTAAACAAACATACCTGCAATAAATTCTTAAACAACATTAAAATATCTCACCTTAGTAAAGATATCTCCTTAACACTAGATGTCCCTATTACATTGCAGAAGTGTGAGGCAGCCATCAAGGACATGCGTAAAGGTAAATCACCGGGGCCAGATGGTATTCCACCCAAATTTTACCCCACTTTTTGGCCTTTGATTGGTCCACTGCTATTGGACATAATTCAATATTCCATCAAGTAGGGCTCTTTTTCTAGAGATGTTAACTCTGCCTTAATTTCACAACTTCTAAAAAAGGGAAAGGACCTGGTAAAATGATCCAGCTATAGGCTACTTTCACTTTTAAAATGCAGATTTAAAGATTTATGTGAAATTACTCGCCCGGCAGCTTCAAGGCCATATGACTAAGTTGGTTCAAAGTGACCAGACAGGGTTTATAAAATCCAGACTGGCTACAGACAACGTTAGAAGATTACTGCATGTTATAAATGGTGCTCAAAACCTAAGTTCCCCTGCTGCTGTCCTTTCACTAGACACACTGAAGGCCTTTGACTGCCTTGAGTGGCCTTTTTTGTGGTCAGTGCTTGAGCTTATGGGGTTTGGGTCACCATTCATTAATATGATTAGAGTTATGTACAAAAACCCAACAGCTGTAGTATTTGCAGGCAAAACTAGCTCTCCACCTTTTCCTATTTTGAGATGGTGAAGACAAGGATGCCCCCTCAGTCCACTGCTATTTGCCCTTTCACTTGAACCACTGGCACAGACTACACGCAGGTCACCCACAATTTCTCCAGTTTCCATTAACAATACACTCATCATATTTTGTTATATGCTGACGACATTTTATTGTATTTAAACAATGCTGTGCAACGCATCCCACGTTTTGTCAACTTTTGAGCATTATGGTATGCTTTCTGGTTTTAAAATAAACTGGCAGAAATCAGTGTTAATGCCTTTAAATCAGGCCATGTGTGATGACCCCATCCATGCATCTATCCCAGTCACTAAAAACTTTATCTGGGGGTGGACATTTGTTCCTCCATACAGAAAATATCTACGAACATTTTTTCCTAACACACTAAAAGTTATAGTAGATCTGGAGAAATGGTCTAAATTGCCAAATTCACTCCACGGTAGGGTAACTATAATTAAAATGAATATTTGCAAATTCAATTCAAATTCAAAAATATTTTATTAATCCCAAAGGGAGATGATTTGTTGTTGTAAGTCGTTAGTTTCAGGATCTCAGTGGTCAGGCACTCGAGCACAGCTGGCAGGTAGATGAGAATGCGTCCACAGAACATCCTTTCAACTCATTTGAGATTTGGGGCTGTAGTTGAGATATTATTTGAGCTTTTGAGATGTTAATCAGCTGCTGGTTGTAGAAAACTGCCTTGTTGTCATGGTTACGCATCATAACAAATGTCCAAAACTAAAAAAGTTTCAGTAAAAATCCTTCCAGCTGCACAGCATCTGATACCAGAGGAAACAATCATCCAAAAAACGTGATTTACAACCAGAAAAAGCGGAAATAATTTTTCCAAAAGCAAAATCTCAATGAAAGTAACAGAGCTCCAACATGCAACCACCTGGAGCGGTGCAATTCTAGAACATACAGGTCCTTCTCAAAAAATTAGCATATTGTGATAAAGGTCATTATTTTCCATAATGTAATGATAAAAATGAAACTTTCATATATTTCAGATTCATTGCACACCAACTGAAATATTTCAGGTCTTTAATTGTTTTAATACTGATGATTATGGCATACAGCTCATGAAAACCCAAAATGCCTGTCCCAAAAAATTAGCACATCATGAAAAGTTTCTCTAAAAAAGCTAATAACCCAACCATCTGAATCAACAACGTAACTCTAAACACCTGCAAAAGATTCCTGAGGCTTTTAAAAACTCCCAGCCTTGTTCATTACTCAAAACCGCAATCATGGGTAAGACTGCCGAC